TACCCGCTTCTTCTCATCTTTCTCCTTAGAGCCACTGTTCAAGCATCGCCTACACCTGCTCTCTCCATTTCCTCACATCTACCGCTCAAGCTGCTACAGCCCAGCTTCCATTTCACACCCCCGCAAAACAGCTCCTGCTGAGCCTAGCACCGCCGTGCTGCTAAAGATAAAAGACTCTTTTTTTAGTCCTTTTAAATGACCCATTCTGTAGCATTCCGGTTGTCCTTGAGACACTGATTTCCAAGACACCAGCCTTTCTGGGTGCTCTTCTCGTGCCCAGGCTGCTCTTTCTCAGCCCCTTCTCCTCTGCCCTTCCCATAAGCCCTAAGGCTCTCACGTGGGCCTCCGTTGCTCCCTGGGCAACCTCATCTACTCCTGCGGCTTCGAATGCAGGTGACTGCAATATCTGCATCTTCAAGCTGGATCTTTCCCGACTCCCAGACGCAAATACCCAGTCACCTGCTGCATGGTTGAGCTCACGCGCCCAGACCTCTCTCCTCTCCGTCATCTCCCCTCTCACAACTGCTCCTTCTCCTCTGCACTCACCACCTCAAAGAGTGCCGCTGCCAAGGACCAAAGCGGGGCCTCCTTTGCGCCTCCCTGTCATCTCCCTCCAAATCCAATCAATCACCCAGTGCTATCATTCGGTCTCTTAATATTCTCTTGAGCCCGGCCACTCTACATCTCTGTCGTTCACCTAGATTAATGGGACAGACTCCAATCCAGTCTCCTGGCCTCCCTTCCTACTGCCCACACCTCTCCTCTGGTTTTCCCACCCTAGCACTGATTCCCCTGGACTGTAATCCCCTCCATCACGTCTGTCTCCCCCACCAGACTATGAGCTAATGATGGCAAGGGCTACATCCAGTTTACTGCTGACCCCCTGAACCTAGCACAGAGTCCGGTACCATGTGCAGTCAATGTCTATTAAATAAATAAATGAATATAACCAGAAGTAATGAGCCTCAAATGAAAGAGGGTTTATACAACGAGGAAAGAATAATTGTTTGGAGGTAGCATTTGGAAGGGAAAATGCTAACACTGCCTCCCAGCCCTGTGATAAATGAAGTCTGGAAGAACAGGGGATTCTACTGGAGTCATGTTCAGAAAAATGGGGAGGCCCCTAAGTAAGGAAATTCACCAGCTATGTGGCTTTGAGCAAGTTACTTCACTTTCCAGAACCTCAGCTTCCTCATCCATAAAATGGGTTTAAAATATCGGCCTCAGTGGGTTTTGTGAAAACAGAATTAGATGATGCAGGTTAAATGCTTAGCACAGAATTTAACTCAGTAAGTTGAGCCTAAGTGCTCAATAACTGTTTTTTAAATAGTCTCGATTAAAGCCAAGAGGGATCAGGAATATTCGGTGACTAGGCTAATGACGCATGGATGGGGTATCAGCAGATTGATCAGGGGAGAAAGCTGAGAGCTGGATGGAAGAGTGCAAGAGGGAAGAGGGTCTGCGGGCGGTTCTGGCCATCCCTCAGCCTCTTCCTGTCCGAGCACCAACTTTCCCTGAGGAACTGCCAGTCCTCCCATCTCACTCCCTGCGGCCTTGGCCCCCTACCCTACCTCCACGGGAAGGCCTGTTTCTGAGACCTGGCCAGCCAGAGCCTCCTGTTTCCTGGTCAGGGTGATGAGATCACGAAGTGCAGGATGGGGCTCAAGCCAGGGCCATCAACCCCAGAGTCTCTGTTCCAGGACATCAAATGGAGCTACTGAAGAAGAGGAAGGTCTTTTCTGCAGGGGTTGCCCTCACAATGAGCTGTTGGCAGCCATCTTGGAACCACAGAGGAGGGGGGCCGCCTGAGGGGAGCCAGCACAGAGAAACCACCTCCCTGAACGTCTCCAGGGACCTCCAGGTGGGGAGAACAGCGCCATCCAAGCAATACATGAAGTCTAGTCTCTCCCTGGACATTGTTACATAAGCCAGTAAGGCGAGTTTGAGCTGGGGTTTCAGTCATTAAGAACTACGTACGTGTATATATATATGTCCATGAGAAACGTTAAAGCAGTCCTCCAGGGCAAAGTGTTGGGAACCTTTGCCTGGTCCAATCTCTGCTAATACATAAGGGTCCTGAGACCTAGACTTGGACTTGCCTAAGGCCTCAGAACAGGTTAGCAGCAGAGCCTGGACTGGAACCAAGTCATCCAAATTCCCTCTCTGTCTCTTCCTAATTCTTCATCTTCAGGACACAATCTCAACCCCACCGCCAGCACTTAGGCCCAAGGCTAACCTTCCTTTCAGCTTGTAGCTCCCACTACACTACCACCCTTTTTAAGGCTAATATTACTTGTTTACTATATATCAAGTGCTGAGCTAAACTCTTTAGATCCATGATTCTCATTTAATCTTCAAAAATCACTTGAAATGATTCTTCCTATTTTATAAATGAGGAAGGTCAGAGGCTGAAAGACAACCCAAGATCATACAGGCAACAAGTTGTAGAGCTAAGGTGCAAACTCAGGTCTGTATGATTCCATGCGACCACAGCTCCTCAGCCTGCTGTCCACAGACCTCTAAAGTGTTCATGTACAGACTTTGGGGGGCAGTGGGCAGGGGAGGCAGCAAACCCACTCAAATTAAATGGAAATGTATATATCTATGTATTTATCTGAGGGCAGGTTCATATGTGATATTGTCAGATTCTCAAAAGAACCCGTGATCGGAAAAAGACTGAGAACTTCTGGCTTTATGGTGAACTCCCTGGGGCCAAGACACAAGCCTGGCCCATAACAGACCCTTAGGGAACCTGGCCAAGCTCTTCCATCTCAGCCACTCTATAAACAAATCCCAAGGGACTCAGGTCCCATGGAGAAGCAGGCACGTCCTCAGAGGCCGACCAGAACACTGGCTGCTGGATTTTTGGTTTGGCCACAGGGAGCCTCAGATTCCCTCGCAACCTCCTTCCAATCAACTAATCTTCCCTTTCTTCCCGAAAAAATGTTTGGATGCCTACTACAGACAGACACAGCGCTAAGAGCTCTACCTATATCATTTCATTTCATTTTCGTAACAACTGTGCAAAGTGAGTACTATTATTATTTTCATTCACAGATAAAGAAAACAGGCTCAGAAAGGTAAGTGACCTGCTTGCCTTTATCTGGAGTCTGATGAGCAGCTTTGTTGTCACACATGAAAGTCTGCCAGGAAGAGACGCCAATCAGTTCATCTCAGGGAAAGCAGCCCCAGCGGCTGATGGACTGGCCGCTGGCCAGTTTTCAAACCAGAGCTACCAGGGCTGTGTCCAGGAACTGCTCTCTAAGTGGCTCACAGGCCAGCAGGGAGACCATTTCTCAGAGCATTCTGTGAGAATGCAGCTTTACTTCTGGCTCATTTCACCCACTTGGTCTGAGCTGGACACAATACAATCGTTCGCAGAACAAGCTGCACTGCCCTTTGCCAAGCTGACCTGGCCTCCACGTGCAAAGCAGATTACATCAGAGCCGCCAGTGTCCCTCCTCCGGGAGCTCTGTAGCTGATCAGAGGTGGGACTGAGCTGGCTCCCAGCCAAATAGTTTTGCTAAGGAAACTATGAATCCCCTGATACTGTGTACACATCTGGTTTTTTTTAAAAGACTAAGCTCAGTTGAAAAGGAAAAGATTTTGAAAATAAAGAAGAAGAAAAAAAAAGACTTCAGTATTTCTCTTTTCAAAACAAAGGGTGTACAGTCCCTACCACAGATGTGGCTAGGCCCTCCTTAGTTCCTGTTGTATCTCAGAAAACAACAATAATGTGAACTCTGGCCTTGATCATCAGAACACAAGCTGGCGCCTCTCTGAGTCTCTCACTATGCTTGGAGCGGTAACCAGCCAGGGCTGGAGAAGGCTGGAGAGAGCTGAGTAACGGCAATGCGCAGGACCCGGCATTTCCCAGCGGGACAGCCCAGCTGGAGGGAAGGCCCAAAGGGAACCCAGGCCCAACACCCAGAGCCCCAGTCATGTACACTTGCAACCTCGAGGCCACTGTCCTCATCTGAAACCAGAAAAGCAAGAAGAAAGAGGAAAAGCTGTCAACAGCCCCATTTGGAGCTTTGGTTTGTTCAAAGGGGTCTTGCAGGGTACTTTCTACTGAAGATCATGTTCTGGCAGGTCTGTCTGAGCAGTCAGAAGCCTACCCCACTTACTTGGTCCAAGTCCCTGATATCATTCCTTTAGGTGGGGATGCAGCGCTTCCTACCTGGAGCAAAGGTTCTGATTGGACCAAGTCGGTTTGTAGTAGCATGCATGTGGCCAGTGACCAGGCCATCAGAAATTCAAAGAAATTCAACTCAAGAAGTGTTTCCTGAGTACCTCATTCATTCATTCTACATATATTTACTGAAGGTCTATTATATGCCTGACATAGGGCAAGGTGGTGGGGGACACAGTGATGAACAAGATAGACATGGTTCCTGCCCTCATGGAGCCCACAGATGGCCAAGGAAGATGGAGACTAAAGAGCTACACAGAATGAGGACAGATGGGGAGAGGACCACATGGAGAAGTACAGGTGCACTGAGGGGACATATGACGGGGAGACCTTATACAGGCTGAGATTCATGGGAGGCTCCTAGAGAGAGTGACATTCCCGCTGAGATCTGGTTGGGAGCTGAACAGGGAGGAAAGCACGAATGGGGCCCTGATGAGACCAAGATGTGATGCAGCAGGAAAGAGGTGGGAGGCCAGGATGGCCGAAGCCCATAGAGTGGGGGAACAGACAAGAGATGAGGCTGGAGAGGTGGACAGAAGCCAGACCCACCACGCAGGACCTTGTAGGGCACATTAAGGTGCCCGAACCCTAGCTTAAGTGGAATTGGAAGCCACCAAAATGATTTAAACACAGAAAAGAGGTGTTCAGTTCCTCCCGCTGTGTGAAAAAGCGCAGATGAAGGTGGGGGCTTAGGAAGAGGGGTTTGGACCTGGGGCCAGGTGCCTGAGACTGAAGCCTGGAGGGGCTCCCAGCCCATGGGGGACAACAGAGCGCTATCTGCACAGGCACATGCAAGCGGCATTCTTACCTGGTTAAACCTCCGGGTAAAGGCCACGACGTTGGGAGCGAGACTATGTTTCTCCTTCTTACTCCATCCACAGCTGGCTAGTTCCTGGGAAGCACAAAGTCAATTTCAACAGTGATTCCAATGGGGATGCAAATACAGCAGGGCATCTAACTGGAATGTGGACACAGAGATGGGGAAGGACTGAAGCACTGGCCATCTATGTCCTCCCAGGGTGGGAGAGATTCTCCTCCTCCTCTGGAGAAGAGGGCTGGGTCTCTAGGTGGAGGTGTATCCTGGGACCCCCAGAGGTGAGGGTGAGAAGCAGAATACTTTTCTCCATAACCCCGGCCACATCTCCCAGGACTTCTGTGCCAAATTATTCTCAACCCCGCCACTGCCACTCTGCCAGCTCCCCGGGACCAGAAGCCCTTTCTTAATGCAAATTGTCTGCAAGAGGGTATAATGTTATATTGGGCAGGCTCACACCCCAGGGCTACCTGTCTGCGAGAGGGTATAATGCTATATTGAGCAGGATCACACCCCAGGGCTACCTGTCTGCGAGAGGGTATAATGCTATATTGAGCAGGATCACACCCCAGGGCTACCTTAAAATTAAAATCTGGCTGAAGATGCTCAGATTTCATTGACCAAGTGACATCCTCCACTCCTGGAACCAGGGGACGTCCTGGGCCAAGCCCACTGCGATCAGAGAAGCTTCTGGAATGACCTCAGATTCGTTCCTGAAGTTGCCCCCCCCCCCACCGCCATCTCTCATATAAACAAAAGGGGGCAGAAAGACAGGTCGCCTTAATATCTTCTTCAGGAGCGTAGTCTCTTCTTTTCTAGCAGATCTAGCATTATAATTTGAAGAGTCAAATGACCTAAATGTTACCTAACAGTGAGGCTGGTTCCTCTCCAAGGGAGGTAACGGGAGCAATCTAATGAGACTACCTGGGGGAAGTAGATAAAAGGATGAAGGAAAAGCCATTAACTAAATGCCCAGCTTTGCCAGCTTGTGCCTTGGCGACCCCTGGCAGAGAGAATGCAGGAAAGGAAAGTTCTCTACCCCTCAGTTACAAGGCTTCCTTCTAACTCATATCCAGCCTCTGTATTATTAATGACATTATTTTTTGCCCCACACCAGGAACTTTTATAAGGGCTTTAGTGAGGGTCGGCTGCCTACCAGCCGGAATAGACACAGATCAGGGGTCTACCAGGAAGTCAAGGGGTGCTGTGGGAATGGCCAAAGACAAACTGAGCAGTTAGGCCTGAAGTGCCGTGCCCTTCAAATGCATCTCAGGACCCAACTGAAGTCACCGGCACACGCCTGTGGGAAGCCGGCTGCAGGCAATGGGCAGCTCCGGATTCAAGGTGAATGACCTGGACTTGAGAACGCTTGGGAACCAACCAGGAGCTAAGAAACACAGCTCCTCTTCCTGGAGGCCTCACTTCTATAAATGGCACTATTGTCCTCCCAGTCACCCACATGAAAAAATACAGCAGACATCCTTGACCCTGCCAAGTCCTTCTCACCCTCACAATTTAGACCCCAAGTCATGGTAATGACAATGATATTAACTAATGCTACCATTTACCAAGAATCCCCCATTGTGTCGGTACCGGACAGGGAGCCTCACTTGTTATCTCATGTAATTCTCACCACATCCGTTTTAATACAGAAGAGGGCTGAGTCCTATAGTCATCACCTTGAATGAATGCTCTGGCTCCACTTCTTTTCACAAGTAGACGTGAATCTCTTTGAGCTGTAGAGTTTGCCTGTTTACCATGATTCTCCTCGATGTGTGTACCTGAGTTTCTTTCCTAGCGTATATTTGACCTACAAAGTCAGTTCCATTGACTCCTACTCCACCCCACCTTTAGAACATATGCAGTCGGCAAATGTATATTACTGCCCTTTCGAAAGGTAACTGTGAGGACAAGAGCCTCTCTCCCCTACGGATTCCAAAGCCAGCCCTGGAAGTGTATGTGTTATAATCGGATATAAAAGAGAATTTGTAATACTGATGTTCAAGGACTGGGACATGGGTGTTGCCCAGTTTCTGGCTGGTAGTTGCTCCCTTTGTTTTTACCTGAATTCTTTAATAAACAGCAGAAGTTATACACACATCCGTAAGTGTGGGGGGCAGGGACGGTACACGTGTGTAAGGGTTCATTTAATTCAGAGTTTGGGTCTATTTCCACACTGTAAGTAACTTAGGAAGGCATCCTCAAAGGGAGCAGTGTGGACCTTACAGACAGAGCCAGGTCAGAGCCCACCCTCCACACACTAGCTGCATGATGTGTATCTTCTCAGAACCTCAATTTTCTCACCTTAAATGGGTCTGATAATATATTTACCCGTGAAGCTCATTAGAACAGGTAAGATTAAAGCTCACACAGAGCACCTGGCATGTAACAATCACTTGATAAATGTTATTACCCACCCTCCTCTTTCCAGGCTCACGCTGCTGTCAGACACGGCCTTAAATCCAAACACTCCCTTCTTTCTTCCACACCACTCTCGTCGCTGTCTTGAATTATTAACAGAATCGATTATTATTTCTCTTTCATTCTGCTGATGTCATTCAGGCAAGAACCAAAGCAGGTACTTAATACATCTGCCCCAAATTTGTTTGATTTGAATATTTCTAAGACCCTGATTTAAAAACTGTATGTACAGTTCTTGGCATTTGACAATTCCCTAAGGACCCTTTTGCACTGGAATACATGTCACATTTAAAATTAAAACTTTGGGACTTCCTTGGTGGTCCAGTAGTTAAGACTTCGCCTTCCAACACAGGGGGTGCGGGTCCCATCAATACAGCTAAGATCTCACGTGCCTCACGGCCAAAAGACCAAAACAGAAGCAACATTATAACAAATTCTATAAAGACTTTCCAAAAAATGGTCCACATCAAAAAAAAAAATCTTTAAAATTAAAACTTCAACAGGGTAAAAACACTATGTTTGAGAGGTTCCTTGATAAAATGGAAAGGGTCCTTTCCTGGCTCCGAATCCCAACCTGTCACTCATTTCCTGGGTGACCGCTCTCTTGGCATCAGTTGCATCGCTGATGAAAACAGGGATGCTGAGACTAACTCCACAGAATTGTGGCAGAGACCAAGAGAGATAAAGCCTGACAAAGGAGGTGACATGCAGGGCACAGGCCTGGCTCACAGCAGATTCATTTGTTGAATGGACAGGGCATGAGCATTCCTCAGTGTTGAAATCTCCCAAATCCAGTGCAGAAAGATTTATCAAGATGTCAAAAGAAATAAGGCCATTCTAACTGCACTAAAACACGTCCCAAGCCCAGCCTCCTTGGCAGTATTCCTCTTCTGTGTTTGGCCTTATAGGAATATGAGATGCCATCTGTGTGAAGTGGGTTTGGAAAACGTGAAGTAACAGAACAACACTCCTCCAGCCACTATTACCTAAAAAAGGTCCATGTTACAGAACAGATTTGAGTGTAATTAAGTTAAAATTGACCAGAGGAGACGGGGCTGGTTCTATAAGGGAGACAAGGGGCTGCGCTGAGGCTGGTAAGGCCTTGGTAGCCCTGCGCGCTGTAGAGCCAGCCCTGTGGCTGCCCTGGGGTGCGCTGGGGCCCTGATCTCGCCCAAGCTGTCCTTGGCTCTGAGCTGTCTGCTGAGGTCCACTGGATGTGAAAGGGCAGTAAGAGCCTGTACAGTCCTTGCCAGCTTCTTCTGGGACCTTTTCTCCGTCATGTGGCTGTTCCCTGGGTTCATCGGGGAGAAACTTTCTGCCACTAAATAAACAAATTTACCTGCCTTCTCTCCCTTCCTCAGGCTTTAGTGGAAGAGAGGTCCTGTCCCCTCAGGACCCGCTCTCCTCCTGGCTCCCTCCCCCTCCCTGCTCAGAGGCCTTGCTCTGATGCCCTCTCTGGTCCCTGTATCTTCAACCTCTTCCTCTCCACTTTCTTTCCTGCTAGGATTTTTTTTTTTTTTTTTTTTTTTTTGCGGTACGCGGGCCTCTCACTGTTGTGGCCTCTCCCGTTGCGCAAGCCAGGCTCCGGACGCGCAGGCTCAGCGGCCATGGCTCACGGGCCCAGCCACTCCGCGGCATGTGGGATCTTCCCAGACCTGAGCACGAACCCATGTCCCCTGCATCGGCAGGCGGACTCTCAACCACTGCGCCACCAGGGAAGCCCCCTTGCTAGGATTTTAATGTGCAAAAGCCTCTCCCATTAATAATAATAATGGTGGTGACAATAATAACCACGATAGTAATAACAAAAGCCATCTTTTCTAGACCTCCCTGCCGCCTGAAAGGGTTGTCGGTTCTCCCTGTTTCAACCCACTTCCATGGCCACCTCCTTCTCTGGTGAGGCAACCTCTCTGCATATTTTCTGTTCTCTGTCCTTGCCCCTCAGCTCTGTGTTCTCTTGGTTGTCTTGACGCCTCTCGGGCGCCCCATTCGCAGTGTATTTTCCAGTTGCTTTGTTCTTTTCTGACACATGTCCCCCAAGCCCCACCAGGGTCGTCTTCCATATTCTCTACATCTGCATCCCTTCCTGGAAGATCACACACACCACCACGGCTTCCACCACATGCCCATGTCCGGCCCAAGTTTCTCTCCTGACTCTAGACCAGGATATTCAGCCACCTCCTGGCCACACCTCCCTTGGCCTCCCACAGCCACCTCAAAATCAGCACGCCCATAGCCAAAAGGGTGTCTGACCAGCTGCCTTAAGTAAAAACACCTAACGACATGAGATTCATTTAGACATTCAATCTGACAAAGGAGGGTGTTTATTACAAAGAAACTGTCCATGGAAAAAATCCCTAACCAAGATAAAAACAACTCTGTCTTAATACCCCCATCTGCAAGCATTCCTAGGTGACAGCAAGAGTCAACACTGGTTTTGGCTCACCCTCGAAGCTTCTCTGGCCACCAGCTTTGTGCTTAGAGTTTTGGGAGTCAGATGCCCTGAGGTGGCCTGAGAAAGGCCTGACCCTGACTGTGCCTGGGGTCAATGAGGTAAGGCCCTGGAAGAGGGGACCTGGGGAGTGGGACAAGTCCTCCCTGAAGACCCCCACAGGATCTAAGCCACTGAGCCATAGGCAGCCACATGTGGCCCTTCC